CTTAGCTAACCGAGTCAATCTTGCCAACCTCTTTACTAATAAAAGGTCAGCCAACCGACACTATCAAGTTGAGCAGACTGATGGCCTCTACAAAACCTGGCTAATTGGCGGACCTCACTAGTGTAACAAAATGGTAGTCTTTACCAAGCTTAGCAGAATGATAACACCTATTAAGTGCTCACCAATCCAGCCAGCCAAAACCTATAGCAGTCAAGCTCTGAGCCCACACATGTAAAATTTCTATAATGACTTGTACAACCCTCAATAAAACAGAAGCATAAATGTAATTTCACATATTATACCCTCTTTTTTTTATATAAATAAGAGATAATTCTATGGATAAACGGTTACACACTCCTCATAAATTATTATTCATTATTGTGCATTTTTTTCTCTGTCTTTCTTTCTTTCTTTCTCAATTTCATATTCAACGTTTTTTATTATTTATTTTCTTTAGTTTTTTTTAGAATATTGAAAGGTTTATTTTACTTAAAAAAATTAGGAGTTATATATATATATATATAAAGAAAATCGGTATTTGGCATATGACCAAATACGGATTTCCCATGAGCTATACCGATTTGTCATACGCTATGCCCAATATGCCTAAGTATTTGATAATCCAGCGCCACTGCGGTTCAAACCTTTGACCTGAGGGAACTTACAGTGAACCCCACCAACCAACAGGCCACAACTTACGATTCTTAGGACTCTCATATTTTACTAATCTTAGATAGAAATGAATTTTCGATAATCTTCCCATTCATAATAAATGTTCAGCTAAAGTTTGTTAGGTTACTAGAAGGTTTGATAGTTTCACAATAGAGGGACGGCAGCTAAGTGCAACCTCAACTATTAAGAGTTACCGGAATACATAACATAGAAGCATATTAGGAGTTTATTGAATGCATCGGGAATGTCAAAGTTATAAAACTTTCTGGTCCCTACGCCCAAAATGAAGGGTTTAGCTTCCTTCTGTCGTCGAAACAAAATACACAACACGGGATTGCAATGACATCGGACGTTGATAATTTTGTACTAGAAATAAAAAGGGATATGTTGTTCTCATGGATTCGCGGGGAATCGCAAAGGCTCTCTAATCCTATGTGACTTTCTCTAGAAAATAAACAACCAATTAATAAGTGCGTGACTGTGTCGACTAGTTTCGGCCGACCAACTTGCCTATTGTGGGTGACTAAACCACGACGACATCACAAATTTTGGTCAATGAAAAGGTGTATGATCGGGTTGACTGGTATCGTGTCGTCAATTGAATAGCCTGATAACGGGCATCGATTGAGCCGGATGATACCGAGTAGTCGGTCAAACTCGACTCGCGTGAGCGACCAAAACCCACTACAACTGGTAAGATGTGCTCCTAAGGCCGACTAAGAATGAAAATGCAAAAGGTTTGAGAAGTTTCACCTATGCTACGGTTAATCGAAGCATTTCTTCTCATAAGAGGAAGTTATCCTCGCCGGAGAGTCGCTAAAGAGGGAGAAGATGACCAAATTTCTTTTCCCAAGTGATGAAGAAGCTCTTCTCGCCAGAGAGAAAGGAGTTGTTGAAGTTGACCTTCCCCCAAGCAGAGAAGAAGCTCTCCTAGTCAACTCACCGGTGTGTCGCCACAGACAAGGAAGATGACTAGCAAGGTGGAAGCAGAGATCAAGAAAATGGAGGAAAAAAGTTTGCCTTAGCTTCTCCTTGAAGAAGAAGATGCAATCCCATAAGAAATCTCCCTAGAAGCCCTTGAATCTCCCCCTTGCTCCAATACTAGTCTCCAACAACAAGGGTGGGCGATTCCTGCAAAAGAGCTTCCTCCCCCTTGATTAAACAACCAAAAGAAAAAAGATCCAAGGGGACTACGACGCTTTTCCAATATGGACAGGGCCCAAAATATCACCCATACCTTATATAGGTGAAGAACTAGGCAAAAGGATATGGTCCACCAATCATGGCCGTCTTGCCGGCGAGAATCCGGGGACCAGAAGATCAAAATTCGTGAACCAGTCCCGACGGCATGGCCACGCCAAACTCGGGCGTGGTCAGGCTGCTATTCAAGGTGTCGCGAGACGGGGGCCGGCGTGACCAAGGTCTAATCCCGCCGTAGTTATGCGTGGTGCTCTGTCTGACAACACCCGAGGCAGACGTGGTCATGTCATCTATAGAGCTTTATGAGTTGTTTTGGCTTGGTCCGATAACACCCGAGACAGGTGTGGTTATGTCATCTATAGAGTTTTATGGGATGTTTTGGCTCTGTCTGACAACACCCGAGGCAGGCGTGGTCATGTCATCTATAGAGCTTTATGGGTTGTTTTAGTTGGTTTTGGCGTGGTCACACCCTGTTTAGACGTGGTCATTCCATTGGTTAGGTGTGGCTCGCCTAAATTAGGCTTGGTCACGCCATACCCCAAAAATTTTGGGCTTCCAAAAAAGCTCGTAAAGGGGTTCTGGGCCTCATGGGACTTCTGAAGAATCAAAATGTGAGTAGGTCATGATCTGTGGGCCTCTGTAAGGACTGCAAACGAGTCTCAAAAGAGTTCAAAAGGCTGAACTATCTACTTATCATCGAGCGAAGTTGTTCTAACATGAAATCAGTCTATCTGGGCCTTGGAATTAAAAGTCAAACACGATGTGGGGTAATTTAGCCGACGTTTTGCATCACGGGAGTCTCCATATCAGCATGATACACCCTTATGCCACATGATTGAACGTCAACCTGGAGAGTACCAGAGGCAATGTCCGTTTGGCCATGATCGACTCAGGGCACTGCTATGGCAATGCAAACCTCAATTAAAATGTCTTACACTCAACCAGAATGTCCCGTGTATATCACATAAAAAATGGGTTCCAACGTTAGGGCTATCAGAAAAGCTCGTCGAACGGCTCGTGATCGACTCATTACATAGCTTGTGATCAATACGTTTGTTAAGCAAGCGAACCTAACATGAATAATTTTTCTTAGTATAATTTATAAATAAGACGACTAAGAACAAATGTTTATTCGTTCGTATTTTGCTTGTTTTGATTCGAAATAACTAAATAACTAAATAAGAATCTTCCTTCATATCATTTTATATTAATTTTTTATATGTATTAAAAAATGCTAAATATTATGATTATTGTAATTATTTTAATATTATAATTATAAAAAGTATAAGATTAGTTGCTAGATATGTAAATAAATGGAATATGCGTGGTATGTATATAAATTTGTCTACAAAAGACCTCCCTGTCACTTCCCAAAAGAGCTCTTAGAGGTAGTGGACGGTCCAGGACTTAAATACTGTTTTTCGGTCCACCTTTGTCTGTGACATTTTTCTTCACTCAATCACGTGACGACGTCGTCACGGATCGGCTCCACCGAGGGTCCCACTGGACCATGGAGAGTCGACATACCTGACAGACAGCAGTCTGCTCTGATACCACTTGTCACATCCCAAAAGAGCTCTTCAATGTGGTGGGCAACTGAGGGCTTAAATACTACTTTTCGGCCCTCTACTTGTCGGCCCTACATCTAGCCGATGTGGGACTTTTTTTATCTGTGACATTTGTCACATCCCGAAAGAGCTCTTCAAGTTGGTAGGCAGCTCAGGACTTAAATACTTCTTTTCGGTCCTACACCTAGCCGATGTCAGACTTTAAATACTTCTTTTCGGCCCTACACCTAGCCGATGTCAGACTTTTTTTGCCTGTGACATTCTCCTCCACCCAATCACGTGACACCATCGTCACGGGATCGGCTCCACCATCGACTCCACCGAACCATGGAGAGTCCACACACCCGACAGACAGCAATCTGCTTCGATGTCTCTTGTCACCTCCCAAAAGAGTTCTTAGGGGTGATGAGCAGCCCAAGACTTAAATACTATTTTTTTACTGGGATTTTTTTGTCTGGGACAACCTACTCGCTTTCTTTGATTTAAGAATTATATATGCAAATACATCAGAGTCGAGTTGCATCCATGTAAATGCTGCCAGACTCTTCCCAAAAGACCTGCAATAACTTCTCTTTTGCTCCGGCATTTCATGACAGATGGGTGGTCCATATGTAAATGGCCCCACAAGGCCAGGAGCCATAATTCTCTTTTATGTTTAATCCCACATTGTGCATTTAAAAAAATTCGATTAGGAACCCTATTTAAGTATAAAAATGAAGAATTAAAAAGTACTGTTTTCTTTTGCTCTTGATTAACATGCAGAAAATTTATAGGTTTCTCTTATTTTGAGAAATATTTAAAATAAAAATTTTTATCATTTCATATTTCTCATATTTTAAAAAATATTTAATTTCGTTTTTTTTGAAGTTAAATGATTATTTCATTTTATAAGTTTGCGTGGTTGAAAATCTGAGTTGAATTTTGATCATGGCTATTAACAGGTTGATTCAAACACGAGTTCATTTCGAGCACTAAAAATTTAGAAGAACATAAGAAATATGCTATAAATTTGCTCATGTTCGGCTCATTTACACTCGACTTTATTTTAATTAGCTATTTAATATCATGAACATTCAAAATTTATGATAATGGTGAAAGATATATGATAAAGAAACTAATGCCTTTCTTATGCTTAGTTCAGTTATTTTTTAATATATCTATATATATTTAAATGCTTAAATCTTCTATAATAATATAATTAAGTATTAAAAAAATATATTCATATCATATAAAAAATTACAATGATAAAATATGTTTATTAATTTAATTATAAATATATCAACATTTTATTTTTTTATTTGAGTAATTTATTTTAGAAGGTAAATACATTAATATATGGTTGTTATTGCTATTTTCAAAATATAAAAACTATTATTATTATTTTTATAATATTTACTGAACGCCAGCAAGCAGCGGTGAAAACGCGACGACTGGCAAGGCCACGAACCGGTTCGTCGGCTACTGGCAGCCGGTCATCCTTACCCGCTCCCGGTCGTTCCTAACCGGTCCCCGAAAGTAAGACTCGGCACCGAACAGACTCTCCTCCTCCTATAAATAGAGGGGGCTTCCCCTCCCTGCAGGCGCAGCTCTCAATTGGCCGTCTGAAAGCGCAAGATTTTCAGAACCGTGTTGTTATTGAGAAGAATTGGAGGAGGTAATTCGATTGCTTTACCTTTAAGAATAGACTGTTATAGATGAGTAGATCTATTGAACGCAGTTGATATTGGTGGATTTGGACGGTTTGATCGTTGACTGTTGAGTTATTAAAATTATTTGCTTGATCTGCTTAAAGATTGATTTCTTCGTGATGGATCATGGCAGATCTGTAAGTTTTTGGACTGGATCTGTGGTTTTGTTCATGGATCTGTCTGAAAATTGTTGAGGGTTTAAGTTATTTAGGTGGAGTTATGCAGATCTTAATCAGTTGATTGCTATATTTTTCTGGGAATTAGCAGATCATTTGATGGTGATGATCGGGCCTTTGATGTGTTTGTATGACCTTGGAACTGTTGGAAGAATTATTTTGATGCCAGTTTTGATGGATATTACTTTCTTGGATGTGACTTGTGAGAGTGTGATCTATGATTTCGAGGTCTAGGTTTTAGCAGATCGTGGAATTTTTTGGATGATCTGATTATATTATCTAATATTAAACCGATTTTATGTTTACATCTTTTATTAAGGATTTGAGGGGTTTCCGTGATTGTCTAGATTGTTTTGTTTTGGGACGATCTGGTACAGGAAGTGTGCGAGTTAGATCTACTCTTCGTTTTTCTTTTTCAAGCAGCTTATAAGCTTTTTGCGTTTTTTATTCTTTGATAGAGTTAACGGTGGAAAGCTCTTTTGTTGCCGGTTCGACTACTAGCATATGCTTCTAAATTGTTCTATGTATAGAAGTTGGTATTAATTAATCCCGTCGAAATTAGCTAAAAGGAACAAGTGGGCTCAGCCGTCTTTATTCGCGTACATGATTTAGACATCTTTGCATCCTTTTTATCGTCCTTATTAGAATTTCTGATCGGCAGCGTTGACGATTCGACGATCAAACTACTTGTTTGTTCTGATCTTTATGTTTTCCATCTGTTTATTGAGTTGCCTTCGTTGCATCTGGGGACTTAGGGTTGTGTGTCATTTTCAAATTCCCCTGACACATACTGATATAAGAGGTTACAGCCGGTCTTCTTCATTATTCGCCAGCTTTCTACGATTGCTATGTTGACTACTGTTTTGTAATGACTTCTATTTATTATTGATATGTTCGAGTAAAATTTCATTTTCATCAACTGTATTCACAAATTCTGCATAACATTCTTAAGAGTATGTGTTGCATGTCAACTTATAGAGAGGAGGAAAGTGAGATGAGCACCATGGCAGTTGCATCCAGAGCGGCAAGATCTTCCCTGAACCCAAATGCCCCACTTTTCATCCCTGCAGCATTTCAACAGGTCGAGGACTTCTCCCCTGAGTGGTGGGAACTGGTGAAAACTACTACTTGGTTCCGCGATCATTGGTTTCGTCAGCACCAAGAACAAGAAACTTTTGATGGTGATGAGGAAGAAGATGACATCGCCAATCTGCTTCCAGACTCATTTGACCTTGGCATTGCAGAAGAATTCTCCCATTTTGAGGCAGAGCTCGAGGAAACGGAAGCAGCCTTCCTACAAGCTTCTAAAGTAGAAAACGAGCTGGGTCGTGCCCTTCCGAAGAAGACTGTCAGGCCCAGTAAGTTCAGCGAACCTTCTTTTATAAGCAATTTTCATTCTTGTTTTCTGTTGCACATGGAATTGATTAATATTCAGGTTTTGAGGACACCGAAGCATTGATCAGGAGCCTGAGCCTGAAATCTCCGAAGAATGGAGCTGTTAAGCCTGTTGTGGATCAATCCAGGTACAAGGAGAAGCCGGCACAAGCTATAAGCCCCAAGTTCAGCGCTCGCCGCATCATCCAGCAACCCCGTTAGAATTACTGCTTTTTGCAGGATAATGGAAGGCAGCGATGAAGAAAAGTAGAAGCAATCTATCAGGGCCTAAAGGTTCTTCCTTTAATGTGTATTAGTGTAATTTCCTTGTATAGAAAATGAAGTCATGCTTTATGTTGTGCTGCAAACTGCCCCTTTTACAAGGGTGCAATGGGAAAAAAAAACGCTTAAAAAAAAAGAAAGCTGGTTGTAGTTAACTACTTGAAATAGATGTCTAGTCCTGCTTGCAATTTAGTTTTTCCAATTCTCTATATTAGCAGCTGTTTTTAACTAACAAAACTCTTGAAAGTCTGATTCATGAACAAAAACAAGGACGTGCGTCACGCTGATGTTTATTATGACCACAGCCCCTTAATGGCTTTGCATATGCCTTGTTCTACACTCAAAGGTAGTGCTGAGTCGGAAGCACATCAGCTCCACATATGGACCAAACGGTGGTTGCGTTGGATGGTGAAGTTCAGAGATTTATTACTCTATTTTTAGGCAACCTGACGATTGTGATGATGAAAAAAAATAAGGATTTTGATTCTCTTCGATTATTATCATAAATTATTCTATGAAATTACGTACTCTGCCCTGATATTTATCTAATTGGGACGGCTGGGAAATAGTCTTATTCAAATTCTTTCTATGAAAATTAAGGATTTGTTTGGCATCATTTTTTTTTTTCAAAAATATTTTCTTCTTAGTTCAGTTTTTGTATTATTTTTATTTTTATTATTTTATTTTTAAAAATAAATTAATATAATATTTGAAGTATTCGATGTTTTTCTTACTTTTTGTAAATATTTTTAAAAATAATAATTTTAATTTTAATTTGTAAAAAATGTTTTGATTTAATTTAAAATAAAAATTAAAATAAAATGGAAAATTAATTAAATAATTAATAAATGTGGTCCTACAACTTAGAAGGTTGTAAAACAAAGGGAGGACCTAAAATTCTCCATTATGGTTCATAGAATATTGAATCTTGATTTATTTGTGAATCACACTTAGAGTTGCAAGTTTAGTTCGAAGATTGTTAGTTTGACTTTTGCTCCGAACAAGAATTTATCGAAATAAATGAGCCAATATTATGAGATGGAACTTTGGATTAATTTTTTTTAAAGTTGCTTTAGATTGTACATTGATCTACTCGAACCGACTCATTTTATTTATAAATATTACTTAACATATAATGCGAAGCAAAATTGAATTATAACAAATTGAGCTATTTTCGAGGTGGGATTATTCAAATAACTCAAATTTGAACCAATTTGTTTTAATTTTGAGTCAGATTGAGCTTATTTTCAGCTCAAATGGATCTAAATAATTCAATTTCAAGCCAAATCGAGCTCTATTCCATTTCGAGCTGGCCCGCCTCAAAATGGAATATAACTAGAGATAATCTAATTTTGAGAAGCACTCAATTTATTTGGGAGGACCCCAACTCTACCTGATATTGGATCGTTAACAACCTTAATCACACCTCGAGGGAGCATAAGAAAGGAGAGAGAGAAAGAGATAGTCCACAATAATGAATAATAAAATATTTTGTGTATTATCCTTTTCTCATAAAATGCACTTCTTGTTTATAGGAGCGAGTATGTAATATATGATATTATAATAAAATATTTTGTGTATTATCCTTTTCTCATATAATAATATTTCTTTTTCTGCTTTAATAAAAGTCATACATGGTATTCTAGATATTTCATATGTATGAGTCTATCGCTCGAATGCCCTATGACTAAGCTAGCATGCCTTCGACTCGGTAAGGCCGACTCAGTCGACAAGAATGAATCAACATGGTCGATTGGCTGGAATTGATTAGCTTCGGGTCTACAGGGTTAACTCGATCAGCTATGCTCTGTCAATCGACCAATCTAGCCAGGCTATCACCCTCTATCCATAGACAAGGGGCTACTATAGGCAAAATGAGCGTAAATTATTCTAACTTAATAGATAGAGCATTTGTTAACAAGGGGGTCATTTGGGTTGATTTTGAGGCTCTATTGTGTTGTCAATTCTTGATCCTTGATGAGGAACTTTGGAGACGTCTGCGAGATTATTGGTGATGGCGAGGAATTGAATTCTTTTATGGGATTAAATCTACCAAGATATAACTCAATGCCTTCGTTCGGTTTTCCAGTTGTAGTTAGGTCAAATGCTTATCTGTCTCGCTCTAGTCTAATCACTTCGAACTTTGATTGTTCTTATTTTCCTTCTGCTTCTTGGTTAACCTTTGTCCTTGGCTCGAATGACTGCATTCAATTGAATAAGTGGTACAATTGGTTTCATGCTGATGAGCGCTCCTTTATCGTGCTTCATTTCATCTGGACTGTTGGATTCTTTAGGATTCGTGCTGACACATTCTTGATGTACTAAGAGGAAGGGCTAGAGTGCAACCTTATCGGACTAACACTGCAGATGCTAATCAAATTAATCATCAAGACAGGTCCCTCCTCTCAAGCAATCAAATTGTCAGAGTTGGATCATAGAATGAAAACATTGATGAAAACGGGGAACCATAAAATTAACCTAAATTAAATTAACAAATTTATAAACCACAAATCTTATGCATTTATATGTTTTAACATCTAAAAATTAATCTTTACATTCACAACAGTCGTATGTTAAATCTAAGATTGTCCTGTGAATCACATCTAAATAATATAGCGCAAAGCAAGAGAGAGAGAGAGAAAGAGAGAGAGAGAGAGAGAGAGAGAGGAGTGCACCATTGAACATTAGAATAAAAGAATTATATAACATTTTATTCATGAAATAATTCCTTATTTATAAACAAATAGAATACAAGAATTGAAGTACATTTATACTCCTACTTAAATAGAGTATGTACGGGTTATTCTAGGGACTATACTATACGGGCTCAGGGCTTTACTGTTGCTTAACTCGTTCGACTGGGCTGCTTAGTTGAATCGATCAATTCTGTCGGCGGGCCAGCCAGATGAATGGGGACCATCGACCAGTTGGTCCTTCAGGCAGGGCCGATCAACTGAATTCATAAAGTTAATCTTCAGGATTGATTTGGTCGGTTTTCGTCGAAACAATTTATGTTGATTAGGTTAATCTAGGTTATGATGCAGAGAGTGAGTTATCGTAACCCGATGGGTAGTTCATCATTTGAGCAAGGAGATCCCGCTTAGCGTGATTGAAGCTCATGACTCCATGATGCTTTGAGGGAATCCCAGTTGTCTCTTGTGTCGAGATGAGTCATTTGGGTATAGGGTATATTTTGTTGAATCGATTCAAATGATCTCTAGCTACCATAAATCAATCAGTCTTCTAGGTTGCTGGGTCGTTTTCCAATGGGCCTACCTTTGTCATGTCATTCTTTTTTAGGCCGCCAGATAACTTTGAGATTCATGCTAACACATTTTCCGTGTACATTATATTAAATTTATGTATGAAAAGAAGCCTTTTATCTTTAAAAAGTTAAAATGGTATTGTTTTGATATAATATTAAAGACTTTTGTTATACATGTAAATATAAAATTTAGGTTTTTGATATGTGAATACATAAGAATTGTCTGGTTTGTATGCAAAATGCTCCTAAAATTTATAGCTAATCTCCTACCTTTTACAGTATGCGAGACCTTTTGCGTTATACATTTTATGGGCCACAATAACTCAAAATTCTTATTAATCTCAATTTCAAGCTCATTATGTTACTTATTTTATATCCTCCTAATAAGCTTGTAAAAATAGAACTCCACAGCGGTTTTTATGAAGAGCTAACAACAGGATCACATCAATACAAAAAATGAGACTAGAAAATAATTTTATTCTAAGAAAGACACTTAAAATTAAAAAAAGAAAAACAAAAAACATAAATAAATTAGTCTTAGACTATATTTTACAAGGGGGCATATTGCAGCTTCAGCCAAAATATACCCCAGTCTAAGCAGCCTTGTATACAAGATTTGCCCTCCAGACCTAAAACAACTCAGGCATATTGCAGCTTCAGCCAAGATATACCCAACTCAACCAGTATGACTAGATTTGAGCCTGGAGCATCAAGGTTCTCTCTCAGACGTTCATATCTCCAACGAAGAGTCTCTTCCATCTTCTTCCATCCTCTCCACCTTCTGCACTCCAACATAAAGAAGTTCTCAATTTTGTCCAGAGATCAGGAAAGCGATCTAGGGATTTCTTGAGTCGGCCAGCTGCTTCCATGAGTTCTTAAAGGGGGATGTCAGGGTGATCAACCTCGCCACCCTCGCTCAAGTGTAGGTTGCATTCGCCTGACGCATAGTTCGCTATCATTGGCACCCCAACTAGATTCTCACTTACGTCAATCAAAGCTAGATCATCGTCCAAGATTACCAAAGTTGAGTCATTTATACCAAGAAATATCATAAAACAAATAAGACTTCAAAAAAAGATCAAATTCCATAAACAAGATTAAAGCCTCTCTTGCTCAAGAGCCGAATCCACTCAGGTATTCTAACTGATGTAGCACCCTCTCCCTGTAGCACCCATGAAAGCAGCAGTAGGTCACTATAAGCGATTTGAGTGACCAGGTCAACCAGAGGGTTTTGTGCCATACAAAGGTTGTTTAGTCATATCAAATGTCAGGTCAATCAGCTGAACATTTTTTTTCGTTTAGTACTAGGGATTGAATTACACGACCCACCTGATCCGACAGCCAAAGTACATATTTCATCTTCTTCACAACGATTTTCTTGTTCTTCTCACCTTTCCGGTGATTCCTCCCTTCAATTTCAAAACCACCACCAAGAGATCGTGAGACCCACTTGACCGATCGAACGATGCCATACGAAGTATGTAAATGAAGCCAAAATCGACCAAACCACAAAGCAGGCAAAAAGATGCTTGCATGATTCAAGAATGAGTCATTCAGCCAGAAACGGAACAAAAAAAGCATCCAAGCTAACCGCTACAATAAAGCTGACCCGATACCATAGTTTACTCTCCAGTAAAGCCGATCCAAAGAAAGATCCAATTCTATAGTATCTCCAACCATTCCATAGACTCTCTATAGGCTCCTCACCAGAAATCAATGATTGAAGCTAGATCAACCTTTCGACTCATACCAACCAAATTCAACCAACTAAGTTGATCTCGTTGACTCGAAACCAACCAAGCTTAACCCACCGAGCTAAAAAGTAGCTCCACGATAAGCCTATACATGGAAAAACACCAATGGAACCCTACTATAGACCCCTTCCAAATAGGAATAAAAATGTAATATCATCATTGCATCATCTCATCTATA